CAAATGACTAATCATCAAATAAGATGTGAATGATTTTCTGTAATATTTCATCAAATTTTCTGCATAATTTGGTATGAAGTTCTTTCTGCTTAGTTGCTTGCGTAATGGAAAAGTTACATGTGAATGATTTTAATGAAACTAAATAGAAGTTTGGATGCGAAAATTACAATTTAAAAATGTTTTTGCCTGGATTAGCGGAATATTTATGGAATCATTAAAGGGTGAAAGGAACCCAACATAAACATATGTATAAAGTATGAATATGACTGGAAAAAATTAAAAGAAGGGAGAAAGCTACCTCACATACTAAAATTCCGAAAATAACATGCTAAATTTCGAAAATGCACCATAACATCAACATCTTTAAAAAAGGGCAAAGGCTGAATTTTGTGAAATTTATCTACGTAAATGAATTTACTTGGTTCAGCTCCATATTAATTCGGTAGAGAAGGAATTCGAGGGTCTGGGGATTCAGTACCAGGTTCTAATTTTTCCCCGTATGATGTTTCCGGCCAAGAGTGACTCAAAAATTGAAAATTTTTCGGCCAAGAGTTTTTCCTGCCAATAGTGTGAAGAAAAGCGAAGCAAGAGTTCATCGGCCAAGTCTCTGAAGAAAAGTGAAGAAGCTAGAAAGTTTTTCCCACCAAAAAACGTGCTGGTTGACGTCAATGGGAGTGGAGTGTATATGACCAATGAATGACGTCAATAATTGTGCTCCACATCCTCCCATTTTCCCTCCAAAACAGTGAATTCACTTATGCCACGCTGGCAATTTCAAATCTCTGAATTTCAACCTGTTTTCTACCCTGTGCGAGAAGCATTATTCTTAGGTTTTATACCCATTGAATAACGCGTTTCAAATATTAATTTGTGAAACAAATACGAGTATTTGTGAAATCTGGCTAAATGTTGTTTGTCACTTGATTTTGCATGTTAAATTGGGGATGACTAATAAAAAAAAAAGTTAGAGATAAATTTACAATGTCGAGTATAAATTCACGAACGTCATGCTGTTTTTCTCTTATTTATTATGCGGGATACTTTCAAAAACTTCATCTCAGTAGATGAGAGGATCTACAAGAAACTGGAGGTTTTGTATCGGCAAACAACATCTAAATTGATCGTTATGACAAAATCGTTATAAAATTGGAAATGTTGGAGATAATTTGTCAAATAAGCTTAGGATCAATTTGTAACATTGCAAATAAGTCGAGGACATTTGATGCTATTATTCTCTTGTAGCCTTGAGAAGGACTTGAAAAGTTTCTCCCAACACGTAAACGGGACCCATTAAATGTTCAATTATTTTACTTGTACAGATGATTTTGTACAAAGAAGTTGACGATGCATGTGAACTTATCTGTACAAAAATTCTGTACATGTAGCATCATTCTTAAATGTTTAATTTTTTTGCCTTTGTGGAGCCAATAAATAGAGTTATCATCATAAGGTCTTGTAGTTTGGTACTTCGATTGTTATTAAATCGAAATGAATGCAAATAATAGAATGGGCAAACTTGTATTTCATTTCACTCCCTAAATTTGATTTAACCCATAAGATTCTGCATGAATTCTTAGATGTATCGATCAAAGGGCCCAACAGGTACAAATGCCATTCTTACACCACCCTTCCCTTCCCCTAATGGACCCAATAGCTCAATGGTAAAGTGGTCAACTATGAATCAATTGATCATAGGTTCGAATCCTATTATAAATTAAATTCATTATAAATTAACTAGTTTACTATCTGACATTTTGTTGCGCCAGATTCGAAAATTACCTTCAACGCCTTAGGGTAGGTCCACGATAATCCTTCTATTTATTGTGAGACTGTTAAAAACTAGCTATGCATATGCACATGTAGACTAGTTGGTCATCGATAACAAACTTGACCATTTCCCTTTGATTTACTGTGAGGCTACTAAAAACTAGCCATGCAAATGCACGTCATATGATAGGCAAGACAATGACGGACGAGATTAGCCATAGCGAAAAGGGCAAACCATGTGTGATCATATATAAACACATGTAAACAAGACATAAATAAGAGAAAAACGACACAAAGACGAATATAATATAAGAAATGATCTCCTACCCACCATGGATTGGATAGAACATTCCCACCCTTGACGTGAGTTACAATTTTTGACACTTCAGCGTTGAATTGTTAAAAATTGCAGTAAGCCCATGTCAGAGATGGACAAAATAACTTCTACCCATTTCTGTATTCATTCATAATAGAAGTACAGTAAAAGCAAGAAAAGAAACGAATTTTTTCGTAACACTTGTTGTTTCTCTACCATTCTCATGTAAATATATCACTATGTTACCATGATAATAGCATTACATTAATGGAAGCAGCATCAATGTGCTTCAACAACTCCTCCGGTCGAAACCATGGACTTGGTTTTATCAGCGCTAAATGCCTTTGCAATCCTCTCTGTTGGGACCAATGGAAGATATGAAGCAACCTTGTACCCTTTCTCAGCCGAAAGTTGAATACTCTTGTTGTACTTCTCTGTATAGTAACTGGCTGTTGGAACAAGGGATTGAGCCACTTGAGCGAAGAGCGGGAGCTGATTGAGAGACCTCCAGGTCGACACAGCAAAATGTTCAGCTACCGGTTCATACTTGGAATACAGATCCTTGGCAGCAGGTTCGTATTTGGTATAGAGGGTTTTCGCAAGACCTGAAGCGGTTTCAACGACTCCAGCAGTTTTGACTTCCGTCACGACGGAGCAAGCCATTGCAGGAGCTTTCTGAGCACTCGAGAAGGCTTGGGTTGACACCTGCTTTAGAACTTTTGGAACATGACGCTGCACCTTGTTCATCAACTTGTCCACCTACCAACACAATTGCAAATTTCTTAAATTCTCCGAAAATACATTCGTGTCATCTACAAATGTTGTTGCAGTCATTTCTAATAATATCACGCAATGAATTCAGAATGATATTACGTAAAAACTCAAGAATAATGCATAATCGTAAAAACTCAATAATCATTCAAGAACTAAAAAAAAATGATACAAAAGAATTAAATTAGCGCAAAAATGTCTTGAACCCATTGGATGAATCACAACTAATCATTAATTAAACAATAACATGAATTTTTTTTTTTTTTGGAACGAAATGTTATAAAATCAGAATAAATAAGATGTAAAGTCAAGGGTTAGCCTCATTAGGTTCCAATCCTGATGCAAATGGTTCCATTTTGCAATTTAAAAGCAAAAATTTCAATTAAAAATTTCCATAAATAAAAAATAAAATAAAAAAAATTAGAAAGCACCTTGCGATCAACAAATCTGAGCAGTTCGACGGGAACATCATAGTATTTGTCGTAGACGGGTCCCACAACGGTCTTGACGGTGCCCTCGACTGTATGGATTCCGGGCTTCAACGGCCCTGATTTATCCTTGGAGTAATTGTAGACTTTCGCAGCAAAAATCATCGCATGGAACGCCACAACTTGGACGAATTCCAAGCGTTTCATCTTCTGCTCATCGCTCTCCATCTTATTAACAAAATCATCACAAAACAACACCTCGTAAAAATACAAACAAACAATAAAGAAATGAAAAACACCTGGGAGAGATCGAATATTTACTTCTAGTTGAGATTTGAGGTTTGTTTCTGCCATTACCACAAAATTAAGGTTTGTGAGAATAGTTTGAATATTCGGAATTTAATTATTCATCTAGTGCATATATGTCATATGTGTGATGCTGTGTGTTTTAATTCTTTTACGTATAATAAATAAATGGACGTTATGCACGGCACACTATTCGAGGAGATTGAGGTGTGAAAGCTCGTGTTTGCCGAATGTACTGTTCGACAACTTCGAGATTAAGGTAGCGTTTCCATTGCAAACTTTTTAGTAGGGGTGTTCAAAAGTCCCGAATCGAACCGGACCGAACCCGAATCGAACCGAATCGAACTGAGCAGTTCTTCGTAAATTAAATACCCGAACGGGTACCCGAATCGAGAATCGATGGGTTTGGGTCGGGTCTCGGGTCTAGACCAAGAACCGAAGAACCGAATAAGAACCGAAACTAAATAATTTTTTTATTTTTTATATTGAATTAATTAAATTATTTTATT